CAGGGGAGTTCTGCAGGATGGCTTCCAGACACGACTGGTAGTAATGCATGTCTTTCTCCAGCTCGCGACTCTCAACATCAAATACATAAATAAGCACCTCTACATTTCTGAAAATGTTGTCCCTCTGGCTGGTGAAGTAGTTCTCCATGAACGTGTCTTGTCTGATGTGTAGAGAAGAGCACAGAGCAGTGTTTAACGGGGGTTTATCAGATTTGGTAAAACACTTTGAATTGTCAAACCTGACAACAAGTAAAAGAGAGATGTACTTTACCCTCCACAGTCCCACAGGTTTAGAACCAGATTGCCAAGAAAGCGTACATGGGAGTGCTCCACGTCAACTTCATTGAACAAAAGAATGACAAGAATTTTTGTAGATGAGATTAAAGAAACACTTGGGATCAAAGTATCATCTTCATGTGGCACCTTTGCTTTCAGTGCCCTTACTTGTAGCTCCAAGGCGGCGTGTGTCTCGAGCTATGTAATTGGCAAAGATGATTGATCTCATACTGGTCTTTCCAGACCCACTTTTTCCCATCAGTAGCACCTGAAAGCATAAATGCAACAGATTTGACAATCACTAAAATTGTCTATACTCTCTACTTGTGTGAAGGATAGTCAAAGAAATATTCAGACTTAAAGAAAAACAGCAAATCCATGATGTAAAAGTACTCCATTAGAATGTTGTAGCTAGTGGAGAGGAAGCTAATTTCAACAGCTTTACACTGTTTAATGTAAAACAATGTGCCATATTGTATTAACTGATTCTGTGTTTTGTACATAAGATCTTACATGTATGATAAATATTTGACAAAAAGTATGTACATTGTTTTGTTTTGATTTCTGTTTATTCTCTGTAAAATCTATATCTCCACACAACAGTGTAAAATTTTGATTCAAATAATTCTCCATGCTGTCATAAACATAATTTTGGTGAAGAAATACCACATTTCTTTAACTTTTAAGTGAATTTAAGTGATTTGCCAAAAACAGACACATTAAAGATAATGAATCTTAATTGTGCCTAATAAGTCATTATAGTATGTAAAACTTCTCATCAGGCTGCTTAAAATGAAAAAAATTAATTTAGAGAATGAAACTGATGATGTGTAATTTGTGCTGAAAGTGCAGAAAAGATGTGAGAACTTTCCTACAAAGTTATCACAAGTCCTGGCAAGCAATCGTTGAGCAATCCCTTTGACTCATGATTTTTGGTTATTGAGGGACTGAAACACTAAAATACCAAACACTGCATATCAACATGTACATTTTTGAATGTTTATGAATACAGCCTCCTGAATCACTTTGGGGCATTGGAAAATAGCTAAATGTTTATAATTTTGAAAGACTGGTTAGAAGCATGAAACCGTACTGTATTGAAGTAGAGCACATGAGTAAATGTACTTCACCACTGCTTGTGATGTTACAAACAGCCAGTGATTTTACTGCTGCGTCACCTTTTTCTTCATTGCTGTGCTTGACATCCCCCTCAACAGACACGGTGTAGAGTATTTCAGTGAGCTGCAGGTCAGATGACTTCAGTCGGTGTCTGTTGCAGCTCTCCCCTTCCTCTCCTTCAGCTGCGGAGCAGACACAAATATTTTCACCTAGCTGCCACTTAGCTCTGATGAAGCAGAAAACCATGTGACTACAGAGGATACGTTTGAACTCTCAAATGATGGACAAGTCCAAATGTTTAACTTTATCGTTAGCTTAGCAGACACAGAGGAATATATAAACACCTTACTAATGTTAATTTATAACTATTTTCTCTGTTCCGGATAAACACCTAAGCTAATGCTAACTTAGCTAGCACGACAGACAGTCCAGATACATGTCAGGTATCTTAGCCAGGCTAAACGGCTAACTACCTAAGTTAAAATTCAGCGGTGTATCGTCTGCTTACCCCGTTACTTATATTCAAGCAGCTTTAGACTATGTTTTTTAATTGGTTTTAAGAATACAGTTGTACACATTACTTGGTGGAAGCAGGCAGTGAAGTCAAGATCAGCTGCTTCCTGTTTACGACAAAGTCACATGAAGTGATTTCGGCTCTATGCCCTGAGTTTTGTCTGACAGGTCTTATGCTGTTTTCACCACTAAGATCACGGACGGATTACATATTTATGATTAGATTAAGGTTATAAAAAGATCAAAACTCAGGTTAGGGCAGTTATAAGGTTGAAGTCTCCTGTTTTAACGATTTTGGAGGCAGAGAGTTAAATGCCTAACAGACACTACCCAGAGAATAAAAACCCTGTGTTTTCTTTCTCCTCTTCCTCTTTGAAGTGTTAAAATAGTTTTAGTTTGAGTAGATATTAACGAATTTGAATTCAAAACTGCATACTGCATACAACTGTCGATTCAAATTTAGTCGTTGGCTTAACGAAAAAAAGGACAGGATGGTTAGATTAAGGTTATAAAAAGATCAAAATTCAGGTGAGGGCAGTTGATAAACTAAAACTATTTTAACACTTCAAAGAGGAAGAAGAGAAAGAAAACACATGGTTTTTATTCTCTGAGTAATGTCTAAGGCATTTAACTCTCTGCCTCCAAAATCGCTAAAACAGAAGACCTTAACCTTGAGTAGATATTAACGAATTTGAATTTAAAACTGCATACTGCATACAACTGTCGATTCAAATTTAGTTGTTGGCTGAACGAGAAAAAGGACAGGACGAAAAAAATTCAATGTTAAAAAAAAATCCATATTCTTTTATTAATATTATTTTTAAAGAAATTATATTTCTGTTATACGCCTTTAAAGGCACTCAGATGCCTTCCATAGAGAAGTCTTTCTTTTTCTTTTCACATTTCAATTTATTTTGAAAGGGTGCACAGGAAGTGTTACTTTGCTATCACGCCTGCGAACAAGAGAAAACAGTGATCAAACCAACTTGCAATTGATACTTAACGCAAATACATTACAATAGTCATGATAGCCACACTAATGTCATTCACATATTGGTATTAATGAATATACGGAAATTAATACAGTGCTGCAGTTCCTGACAGGAGCCACCAGAGGGCAGTGAGCAGTCATGATTACATATTAACTCACTACATCGTCAACACTAACGTCACACTGTGACTACCACGTCCGGAAAACACTTTCAAAATAAAATATTCTGCGCACCCCACAAAATGCGGTGGATAGCACTTCCACGAGGGTAGTATATATTGCAATATATTGATTGTTGTGACAGCATACCTCTGTATTTTTCCAACTCACGAATGTTGAGTTTTCATTTCTTACTGTGATCACGAGAGAATGAATGAACACGTAAATTAAATTAAATTAATAAAATAAAAAGTGTGAGTTGTATATGACCAGTTAATATTCAGATCAGCAGCAGCAAGGCTTCACTGTACACTAAGACAACCATGGACTTTGCATTCTCATTTACATGTGGTTCTGTGCACATGTTATGGTTACATCTTCGGAGCAAAATGTGCTGTTTGAGCAATATTCTGTCAAAGGAAGAGACCAGAGAAATAAATGATGCGCACTAGTTCATCAACACTGCAAGATTTTGCATACTTGCAAACATTTCTCCTACTTTATCTATACAGTTTACTAGGGCTGTCCTTAATTACAGAAAGTCTGCTTATTAATACATAACTCCCGTAATCATGAAATACTTGAATAACTGGCTATGACAACAGCATTCTCATTGCCCTGCAGCTCATGCAAATGACATCTCTCTCAGTAAACATGATCCAGACGAAGAGAAGTCTGATGTGTTTTTCTTGAATAGAAATGCACGTTTTAAAGCCCACAGTGATGCATTATCTCTGATTTCATCTGCATGCAGTGGAGCAGAAAATTCAAAGATTGTTTTGAAGTAAGAGAGAGAGAGCAGGAGACGGGGATAGAGAGAGGGAGCAGTCAATTTGGACCACTTGTTTCCTTTGGGTTAAGGAGAAAATGCAATAGATCACTGGCAATGATGTGGTCAGAAATAATCTGCATTTGGAAATCTCACACTGAGGCAAGGAGAGAACATATTACATATTTAGGTATTTGCATCAAATTTCAGACAGGATATGAATAGTCAATACTGACTGCACTTTTAATCTCAGCTGTTGGGGTCTAAGTTTTTTTTTTTTTACCTAGAAATGTTGGTACCTACATAATGTTGATTAATGACACCTTTCATCTCCTTTTCACTCAAACAGTTTTATGTGCCAATACTACAACAGAAAAACACACTGCAATTGCTGAGATGTCATAGAGCCTAGGATATACATTATGTGAATTTGTGTTTAGAAAATAGACATTTCACAACAGACAGAACAAATGTTTATATGGAATTACTGAAAAGGATAAATTCATTGAAAAGGCAAAGAGATAAAAGTATTATAAAATTTTATTGTTTACTTTCTGTATCTAATCTCCAAACTGTAACCCCTTCCCAAACAATCAGTGAAAACACTTAAGATGATCAGACAAACATATGGGCTAATCATCCACTATCTTCTTAAAATATTTGTCAGAAGTAAAATACAACAAAACAACTCAAGAAGTCTATCACCAGTATGGGGGAAGGTCTTTTACACTCTGATACCAGGAAGAGAAAATGCATATATGTTTTCTGCAATCATGCAAAAACTGAATTCTATCATCCCAAGCCTTAAACTCAAACACCGTAAGTATATGAAATTGGTTTATAAATAATATACAGGGTAATAATTTCTGCAATCCAAATTATTTTAATGTATGGTCTTCTTAAGTGTGCATAATTAAAAATAAAGCTAAATTAGATCTTCTTTATTGATAATTATATATGCTTAAGAAATACATACATTTTCCATACCCATTTGTTAGTTTAAGGTGTCCAAAGAATAATTGTAATTGCTGTGAGTATATCATCAATACAGAACCAACAAGGGCAAAAAAACAAAAAACAAAAAAACAATGATACAGTAGCTCCTCAAGAGAGACACATGAGATGTAAAGAGAGGAGAGGACATGATGTAAATCAAAAGGTGTTTGGGAATTATATTCAGGTAGTGTACAGGTGTTTTTTGCGCTCTGCATTATGGCGCTAGTCCACCTGAAATACTCTAATGTAAAGGATGACTGCCGTCCTTTACATTTGATCTCTGAGTTTGGCGAGCCTTTGAGAGAGTTCATCCTTTGGATAAGAGAGAGCAAAGAGAGAGGTATAGTTGAGGAGGATGTACATGGGTTATTTGGAGAAAATGTTTCATCAGGCTTTTTGCAAAAGTCTTTGACAAATACAGTTTAAATCTCTTTTTTGGAATCACACAAAACCTGTGTCTTTTTCACTAAACCTATAATTTACACTTTTTATAAGTAATCAGGCTCATGTAGCAGGAACAGTGGTGAGGTTTTTATGTGTACTTAAGGTTATCTGTGCCAAATGTTATCTGATTGTAAAATAAGGATGTTGTGAAAAGCAAGTGTACCTGTTCTGCAGAGGCCACGCTGGTACCCACTGATCCTGTCTGTCCCTGAGGGAGCTCCATGTTCAGGTCAAGTCTAAATATAATGCACACAGCAACATTTAAAACTTACTTTCAGACTACAGACACAGTGTTGTTGTTTACACTATACTGAATAACGCTGTCTAAATCAATCCTTATATGTCTATGAAATTCTTTGAAATATACCACAATATACACTTTGATCTATGCCTGTACTCTGTGAATGCATTCCCCGTGTAAATGCATTTATATTCACTCATTTGGCAGATGCTTTTATCCAAAGTGACATAAAAGTGAGGGACAACACTAAACCTTCAGTGCAGTCGGAGACCTTGGTGTAAGTACTGGGTGTTACATTTATTCAATAAGTGCAAGGAGATCATGTAAAGAAGTGCACTGAAAGTGCATAGTAAGTGCTAGTTAGGCATGTTAGTGTTAGGAATATAAGTGAACTAACATTATTTCACAAACAATACTTAGAAAAAAAATGAAAAGTTTACCCTGCTTCATCTGCCATTTCATGCAGTAATGACTCCACTTGATTCTGAAAAACACATTCGCCATTAGATATACAGTGAATGCCTTTGTGTTTAAATCATTGTCAGACAACAAGAAATATTATGAGAGTAGATCCAAGACGTACCTGTGGTGTCGTGAGTGTTGTTGTGCTGCTCATGGTGTCCTCCATTTGGGCCGTCTGAACATCCAGAGTTTCAAACTGGTGTTCAAATTTGTCCATGAGAGCTGAAATCTGGAAAAAAGGTTAATGAATTGTTTGATAACTCAAAGAGAAAAGACAATATTATTTTCATGTGTAAATAACACTCTACCTTTTCCAGATTCATACTCTTCAGAGTGGCATCCATGCCTTTCACCACTCCAGCCATAGATTTTGTGACCTGTGAAAAGAAACACCATCATTAAAAGAGAAATGACAAAAAACAAGCTTTCTTAAGTCTGAAATGCTAATCTTTAGCCTGTAACAGATTTTCTAGGCCTACAACAGTTTGCAGTGACCCTGTTTTCAATGTACCTGGTTCATTGTAACTGCAGTTTGGACCCTTGCTGCCACCGCATCTACCCGAGCGCTCATCCTCAGGAAGTTCACAGACTGGTTCTTCTGTCTGATGGCGTTCTCTGCATGGATCCTGGCCACTTCCATATTCCCCTTCTGGATGGCCTAGAGACGGCACAGACAAAAAGACATCAGGAAGACACAGACAAGGCCCCCCATAATGTGTTATCTTGATGACTGGCTTCAAAAGTGGAACTTACTTTCTTGACTTTAGCCTTCTCTATTTTTTCCTCTTTGTCACATTTCTTGGAGTTTCTTTGGAGTTCTTTGGCAGCAAATTTTAAATTGAATAGATGTTCTGAAATGTGAGGTTAAAGAAGAACAAAGTCCAAACAAAAACAACAAGCAACCTTGGATGACCACTTCAATTACTGTGTTTAACTTTGAATATAATTTAAATATAATATAACTGTTTTGTGTGAGCATGGCATGAGAAGATGGTGGTGGTTCTCTTGGTTTTCTCAACTCAAATCCTGTAAGAACTGTTGGAAATGTGTTTGGTCAAGACCATACTACAAAAATTAGCTGTGTATGCATCATTTAGTAATTAGTTTGTGGTAACTTGTTTAAGCAGCATTTTTTTAGTATTAAAAAAAAGTTGCCCTAATGCCCTATCACTTCAGTTTATACTCTATTTGAGTGGTCCATACCATATTACTAGACAAATTTGCAGCGTTGCACTAATCTGTAAGATGGCTATCCTCTGAAATCGGATCCAAGAGACTGTTTTTGGCAGCAATGCTGATCAAATAAAGTGGATGGATCAGACATGATGTAACCAATTCAAACTAAAACAGTTTCTCTGTCAATGTCACTATAATATTCCATGTTTCTGCCATCAGTTACAATCTGTCACATCAGGCCTCATGTTTAATGTGCATAAAAAAATATTTCCATGTGCTCTATGAGGTATAAAGATTGTGAATTTGGCTGAGAGAGAGCACTGGTCTCATATCATAAGTTCAGGTATCTGAATCAGTATCAGGTGGATCGGTGAAGCATGGTGAAGCATCCCTACAAATTTGTAATTAATTAAAATTACCAGAAAATATCTGCCATATTAAACCTGGAGCTTTCTAGGCACCCCAAGAGTGTAGGAGTCTAGGACAACTGTCTGCTTTGATTTATTAAGCCAACCTTGGGTGTATGTTCCTGTTACTATCTTACCATAACAGGTTTAAAGTAGAGCTAGACTAATAGACTAGACTAGCAACAACAACAAAAAACCCTCCCAAAACTCCCAATTTTTTAACTTTAAACTCCCAAATATTAATTTCAATATTGGCTTCAAAAATAGCTACAATTTACAACATGAAATACCTGCAGTGACGAATAAAGGTTATGTAACTGGTTTTATTGGAGTTTCCCTTTGACTATGTTTTGCAGTTCCTGTGAAACCTTCATGTGTGTCAAATCATAGACAGTCATGATAGGATTACCAGATAAAAAACACATCAGTTCTTGCCTTTATTATTTAGAGTATTAAACAACACCCTGACTGCGAGGTTACAGTGTGTATCACCCTGTCTCAGGTGTTGGGTATTTCCAGCCATTACAAACGACGGTTCCCAGGCCCTCAGCCCGTCTCTCTCCTATTTAACGACGCCTGGAATTGGCTAAGACGTGTCCAGGTTATTCAATAATGCAACTTCTGTGCCTTTGGTGGATATGTAACCTATTAAGTATTGTTTTATGTGTCTGACACACATAAATCTCTCCAGCCTTGACATAAACTACCGTGCTGTGGTCGCTCTCTGAGCCTTCGTATTGACGTTACACCACAGTCTCACCTCCCCTTCTCATTACTGTTTTAAAAGGATACTTTCCATGCTCGGCATCTTCAGTTAGCTCCTCGCGAATCCAACAGTTACTCGGTCGAATCCTTACGGACAGTCCACAAAAGACAGTTAAATAAAGCTAAAGTTTTCAGTGAAACTTCAGCCTTTTGGGTTTCGGTCTTCGCCTTCACTCGCACTTCCTGATGTCTTACCAAAATATGAACAACGTCATTGTCACGTGGTGGCGGTATTCCATTCGACGTCACGAGGGAGCTGCCACCCTCCCCCTAGCAAAATGTGAATGAACAGAAGAAGAAAAAACAACTAACCTTTAACACTATAACACGGCACTGCTAACGTTTTTATCCGTGCGTTCGCGTTGTTGTTTATGTGTAAGTGGATACAGGCAGATAAAAGTGGATGTGGTGTCTTAGCAGCAGAGTGGTGGGCGGTGAAAGCGGCTGATTGATGATTAGATTTACGGTGTGGATCACGGCGGGGAGAGAGGATGACTCACTCCGTCTGATGTGATGTTCACCCCGCAACAGCATCTCGGCAGTGCGGTGGCACGCCGGTAGTTCAGCATGACATATCGGTGTGCTCCACCAATAAAAGTCAAACTTTATCCAACTGTTTGGATGACATACATACAATGCTTATTTAAAACTTGAGTGACCGTCGCTTGGTATTTAGAGAGAGACCGAGGGTCGTGATTTACCGTAAATTTCGTGACGCCTGATTGCCATGGAAACAGTGCTTCTGTGCTGAGAGGAAACTGTCCGCGTTAACTTCAGCATCAACCTCTCCAACGGGGTCGGATAAACCTGTTGGGTATCTCACTGTTTATTTATTTTTCTTGTGTTGCTGCTCTGGCTTTACTTTCCATTTTTATTTATCCAGAAACCAGGTGAGTTTTCTTTCTTTTTTGTAATTGCGCGACTGTTGTATTATTGTGTGTCATTCTGGCAAAACGCAGATAACCGTACTGTTTTCCCTCAGTATATAAGACAGTTTCAGTCATAATATCAGCCTGTTCATTTACTTAGGCTGGCTGTAAACTTATGAACTGCATTCATATATTGCCACGATTATAATTGTACCATGGAATACAGAATCTGGGCTTTTTGAACTAACTAGTGATTTAGTCATTTGCTAAATGGGCAACATTTTGAGTTCAGAGGACAACATATAATGACTGTAGTGAAACATTACAGAACTAATGGCCTGTGCAAAATGTTGTTGGCCATGGCAGCTTTTAAAAATGCCCATCAACATGTATGTCCCCAGATCTATTGGCTGAATATTATAGTCTGTAATTGTGCTATATTCCATTGACCAGGCTTCATGATAAAACATTTCTTGAAAGTCACGACACTAAACGCCACCTAAAGTGGTGCATTTTGTGTCGTTTTTTTGCACAAGGAAAGAGAGCAAGCGAGTGATGCTTCATTCAGTGGCTGTATGACTCATATAGTCTTATCTATAAAGAAACCAAGAGGCAGAAGAGCAGTCCTGCTGCAGGACCGAGCTGATGTAACCCGTGAGATTCACTAGAGGCTGCTGTGGGCCATGCTTTCCTGTGCCCGAGTTACTGCCACCCACTGACAGCATTTACACTGGTGACTGCCAAATACTAACACAGGCTGAGGGAGCAGTAGGCTGTTCACTAACTGCACTCAACAGATCAAGTGCTGTTTTCAGTGGGCGTACCTCACATGGCCATGTTAGTTTGAAAACAATACAAATAAAATCAACCAGCAATACTCATTTATCACATACTATTTAAAGTATTTACATGAAGCTTTTGCCACTCTGGCTCCATTTTATTTAGTCATTTAAATGCAACAATACGTTTTTTTAAGCAGTTACAATATTACTATTTTTTATCTAAACTATATCTAAAAAAAAAAAAAAATGGAAGAAGACTCACCTTTGATTTTATACAACTAAAGCACCATAGATCTGATGACCTAAAAGTTGGTGCATATTTATATTTTCTTTCAAGCTTTACAAAATTGCACGGATTCACATACCTCTGGAAAAACGATTTGAGTATTATTATGGTGGAGCAGCAGAAAAATAAACAGTGCAACCAAAAAGTAGGCTAACTAAACTTCCCAATCTATATAGTGTAGTCTTAAGTGTACAAGCTAAAGCTCCTCTCCGGAAGTAGTTTTGGTTGTGAAATTCTATTCTCTAAATCCCAGTGAGAAATGAGAAAAATTCAATGTCCTTCTCCTTTTTTAAAAATGTATATATATTTTAGCATGATGGGCTAGTGTTGACTAAAGCATAAAGGCAAAAAAGAAAAGATAATTAAAAGGACTTTATAACGAGTTCAGGGATAATGAGAGCATTCATCTTTCAAAACACCCCAAGAATCCTTAACTGATCCCTTATCCATACTGTTGTATCTGAGAATATGAGGATCCTTTAACGCCTACAAACAATGGGCCAAAAAATCTGACATTTTCCTCAGTAGTGAGTGAGTCAGTGTACATTAATGATGACGTACTCTTCCCCCTCTTACAAATACAATGTTGCCACATTATAACAGCAGGAATAAACACATCATCAATCAACTGCATGCTGTTTGTTAGCAACATTATGGAGTCAAGTGTATAACCGCAGTATTATATGCCTAGTTTGTCATGACAGACTTCAGTGCTTCTATTTCAGAAAGAGAGTGCTCATACATACAGGTCCAGTATCAACAGATATGTCCAGCTTGCCTCTTTTAGATCTATCAACCTGGTAGTCCCTGTTAGGTGATAGCCAGTGAATGACACACAGGGGAGTCACCCATAACTAGCAGATGGGTGGATGATCATGGATGATCAAGAAATTCAACATGGCGACTGCTGAATGTTTATCTTGTTTGACAAAATGTAAAATGGCATGAGAGTAATGACGTTCACAGTGCTATTGGAATGTATTGTCTCACTCTCAGCAAAAAAGTTCCTCACAAACCCTCACAAAGCATCCTGGGAGGAGCTGCAAAGTAGGCACATTCATCTCATTCATAGCTAAACCAGCCACAGCCAACAAATTTGTTTTCTTCATTAGATTAGTTGAAGAAAAAATCTGTTATTATGACAGCCACGTCATTGATCTGTAGAATATCAAGTTTAAGAAACAAAATGGGGAGCACATTTTAATTTACATTCTTCAGATACACTTGTAGCTTCTTTTCATCTGTGCATTTCAACATGGAAAATTTTAATTAGGTCCCTTATGTTTGAGCTATTAAATGGCATTTTGTTGACTTCACCATATGTTATGATGCTGTCGCCACATTGTGGCAACACGCCAGATGAGTTAATCAATGAGTCCTCAGTCCTCAGAGCTCACTTTGAGTATGTTGCTGGCCTTTATGCTTAATGCTGAATTTCAAATCTAGCTGATAAACAGTGTCACATATCTTAGGAGTGCAAAAGGGCAAATGCCAAGTCTTCAAAGGACTAGACTTTCAAGTAAATAAATTAGTGAAAAATATACTCAAGGATAAGGATGTAGAAAAGATGCTGGGATGATGCAGACAATGTTAAAAAAAAGAAAAATGTGTTTTCTCTACACATTGCCATTTGTAAAGGGCATCTGGAACAGAAAGGCGGGGCTAGTGGTTGATGTTACTCTAAGAAAAAGCAGTTTTTTTTAGATTACAACATTAGCCATAATGTGATACATATGTCAGACCTCTGTTTCACAGGTAAGGATGATGGAGCTCCAAACGGAGAAGAGATTCCACAACTTGACCCTTGCGCAAGTCCAAGCTCTGGACAAGATGTTGACAGAGGTAATCCCGATCCATGGACGAGGAAATTTTCCCACACTGCAGGTGAGAGCAAAAGACATCATACGTGTGGTGAAGGATCGTCTGGTTGAAAGAGACATTCAGGTGAAAGATATACGCCTTAATGGTGCGACTGCCAGCCATGTCCTGGTGAGGGATAATGGCCTGGGCTATAGCGATTTAGACATCATTTTTGGAGTGGAGCTGCCCAGACAGGAGGACTTTCAGGTGATTAAGGAGGTGGTACTGGGCAGCCTACGAGACCTCCTCCCTTGTGGAGTTAACAGACGGAAGATTACTTGCCTGACAATGAAGGAAGCATATGTGCAAAAGATGGTGAAAGTTTTCAATGAGCATGACAGATGGAGTCTTATCTCACTGTCTAACAACAGAGCGAAAACTGTGGGGCTCAGGTTTGTTAGTTCGCTTCGAAGACAGTTTGAGTTCAGTGTGGACTCCTTCCAGATAATATTAGATCGCATGCTGGAGTCCTACTGGGAGACTGAAAGGAAACAAGGAGGAAAGTTGGCATTGAATGCTGGGAATTTGGCTAAAAGAGACAATGAGGATGAAAGCAAAAAGCAATCAAATTCGAGCAATCCTCAAGATTTTGAAGAGGATATTGACAAAGACTCAGTAATGGCAACTGGCGGAGAAAGTCAGTGTCCAGATGAAGCAGTTTCTGTGCTTGAGAAAGAGCTTCCACATACAAAGACTGAGCATGTTGACGGAAAGCAAAATGCACAGCAAGTATTAGAACCAGAGAGCAGTAACTTACAGCAGGAGGAAGAGGAAGTGGATGGCATCGAGGACGTTCACTCAGAGGAGGACATTGTGTTTGAGTTATGTGAAGAAACCGGAGAAGAGAAAGAACATTTTCACAGTGGTTATCCTTTAGTTTCATCACCTAAAACTGTATTTACAGAGATCAGGGATCCGCTGATGACACGTGCATGTTTAAAGCTACAGAGTAATGAAGAGCTATGTGAGTCACAAGCTTCCCAGCCAGTGTCTGTAACGCATATAGAAAAGTCAGCTCCACAGGAAATAGTTCATTGTGAAGAAATTACTCAGTTCAAAGTAGACTGCAAGACTGAAAATACATCAGACCTACAAGATTCACATATTGAATTCTCCTTCCCTCCCCCAGCTAAGAAAACCTGCAGCACATCACAGGACGTTGTACCAGACTATTGCCCCTCACCAAAATTACAAAGAAAAATGTCACGAAAGATGATTAGTAAGCCTGAAAAATGGTCTTTGCTGACTGATTTGTCAGATCTTACAACACAGCTGTTTCCACCCATAGAAATACCCAAACCTCTTCAGCCAAAGTCTCCTGCACTGGATAGTGTTCAAGTTCATTGCTCAAATGTACCAGACACCAAGTTGGAGAACTTTGAGGGTACAAATGCTCTTACAGTTCCCACAAACAGTTCAGCCAGTGCGCTTCAGGATGGGACTGGCTCAAATGAAAGTGGAGAACAAACTGTTAAGGCAAAACACTCAAAGAAGCCCCCTGATTCCGAGACTCACACATGTGCAGCAAACATCGCCACACAACCACAGGTTGATGACCTGACAGACACTGTCCCAAACAGCTGTGGGTCAAGCTCATGGACCGGGGCAGCAGGGGAGCCCACCATCACTGTTGAAGCAGAGTGCATGTACGGAGACTTTGAGCAGGCGATGCACCACCTTCGCCACCGCCTCATCGGCACCCACAACCCAGAGGAGATTCGAGGAGGCGGTCTGCTAAAATACAGCGACCTGCTGGTGAGGAACTTCAGGCCAGCCAGCGAGACAGAGATTAAGTCCTTGGAACGATACATGTGCTCCCGCTTCTTCATTGACTTTCCTGATGTAAGCGAGCAGCAGCGGAAGATCGAGGCCTACCTGCAGTGCCATTTCATTGGCAACGAGGAGACAAACAAGTATGACTACCTGATGACCCTGCGACGTGTGATAGATGAAAGCACGGTGTGCTTGATGGGACATGAGAGGAGACAGACGCTAAATATGATCACAGTCCTGGCTCTGAGGGTGCTGGGCGAGCAGAACGCCATCCCCAACACGGCCAACGTTACCTGCTTCTATCAGCCGGCTCCATACATGACAGAGCCGATTTACAGCAGCTACTTCATCACCCAGGGCCAGCCCCCACTCGTCTACCACCCCTACCCTCTACATGTCCACATGCAGACTGGCCTGGTGTAGCTACAGTGACATGCCCACAGGGAGGCATGTAGGCTTTCAGCATGGTGCTCTGCAAGCAGAGGCACAAATGGAAGTTTTAACAACAACAAGCAACCACAGGCGTAGTGTTGTTTAATGCTTTGACATCCCTCCTGCTTATGACATGAAAGATCATAAAAGGTCAGAACTGAAAGGGGTCTGGAGGCAAAGCTTGTCACCCTTTCAAGATGAAGACTTTTGAAAAGGAAAGAAATGCTCGGAGCCCACTTTTTCAGAGAGCTCAGAGAGAGAATTTAATTGAAGTAGGGACTTTGTTTACTGCCATTTCAGCTCAGTTTTGGCAGGGTACTGGTCACACTCCCCTGTTGAGGAGAATGTTGCAATGTGATAATTCTCTATAGCTACAAGCTCAAGTCATATAAAACATCATTTCTGAAACACCTGTTGGCAACAAAATTCTTAGCTTGGGTGTTTGAAGTTTGAATAATGATAAATTGTTTCTGAGGGGTTAAACCCCCATATGGCTTTTTTGTGAACCATCATTCTCTGTAGAGTAAAATTCAGTACTGTCTATACTTGTGTATTCACTGTATAGAAATAGGACTTCAGACATACATGAGCAAAATTTGCTGTGATATTTCCATGATGTCATACGTTTTGTAATTGTGAATATAAACACCTAATTTCAAAGTTAAAAGCAAGAGATCCCAGGTTGACTTCTATTAGGGATTTTTCCAACACTTTGGATGGTGAGGACAACTGAAGCATGTTTCACTTTGTAAAAAAAAAAAAAGAAAAGTTCATAAAAAACCATCTCTATTTCTTGTTTCTTGTTTAACTAGCAACAAAAGCAAAAACAACCATCAACTCTAAACAGATTTTGATTCTGATTTGTTCATATAAATACGTGGCATCACCTTTTTCCAACACCACACCATCTACTTCAAACCAGTGAGAAAAAACCAACAACAAAAACAAATCTCTCATGACAAAAACATTGGCACAAAAATAATAATTAATGTAGGAGCCCATCACTCATCATAAAAAGGTGATTGAGAAAATATGTTTTTGGGGCCTTTAATCTTTTCTTTTAACATTAAAAAAATTATTACATAATGTAAAGAAAGGCTGAAAAATGACAGAAACCCTTAAAACACACTTCCCTGTTTTTGTCCTGTAAATTTTCGTATTCCTCATCAGAGAAACATCCCAAGGAATCGCCTCCGGATGACATTATGAAGAAAGCCTCGGCTGTCGTGTCATTAATTTTGAATAAAATATGTTCACATGTTAATATGTTACATGGTGACAGTTGTTTGTTGTAGTGGACGTAGTGAATGTCAGTTCTGTCGGGATTTTGCCTGCCACTGTGTGCCGAAATGTTACTGCACATTTGAGTTGTTTGAGCAGTCTACAATGCAGCCAGCAGTTATTGCACTCTGTCCCTGTATGTTTGTTTATTGTGTATGCATAGCTACAGTACATGTATTTAAAAAAAAAGACAATTTAAGCACAGGTTTGGATATGTGGGCTGTTCACACTAAACCTGAGACTGAAGCACAATGTAAATGCACATAGCTGTTGTTGAGTAGATAAGGTGTTTCAGACATGCTTGTGAATCTCCAATTACATATTGAAGACATCTAGAATACTATGCGCAGTAGTGCTCTATGCAGCTTTTAAGTGATGTATCTATCTTGAAACTCTGGGTATGTTGTGTATCGTTAAGGAACTGTTTCACCAGTAGAGAATGTCAGATATTCCTGTTGTGATATCTAGTTGGTCAGATTGTTGTGTTATTGTGATAATAAATATAACACAACTGCTCTTTGTCTGGAGTCTTCTCTTGCCCGGTGTGAGTTACACTGTTACTGTAGGACCAGCCATTTGTATAATTGTCTTTGCACGCATTTAATCACATCCACATCTGATTCAGTGTTACTTAGTTTTACTAGATTGAATCTCCTGATCAAATGGCAACATTGGCATCCAAAGAACACGAACATTTTTACAGAAATCTTTGCAGTGGTCAGAAATAGTAAAGAATTGTATCTCTTTATATGCATACATGACCTAAGATGACTTTTTTAGATTTTCTTTTTTTGTCTTTTTTTGAGTGATTACATTTTGTCATTTTTAATAACCAGTTTTTTTTCCTTCTTCAGATTTCATACTAATAACTGTAAACGCATCACAAGTGGACTTTTAGTCAAGCCAGTGTTTGGTATTTTAGGATTTGAGGAAATACTGTTTTCAGCCAATGAAGTCTGGTTAAAACTGAATATTAAGATCTTGTAATTAATTGACATTTGCTTCTAAACAAATCAAATGAGTTTGAGTTAAAAGTCTGTTATTATTTAAAGCATTAGTTTAAGTCGTAACTGAAAAACTTAATCGTAAAACCTGCTGGTCCTCCTCTCTATTGACACCGACACTTTATGAATATCCTTCAATCATTTCTTTGGTACACCAAAGACACCAAGATTTTATAAATGGAAAAAAAAGGTCCTCAGAACTCCACAGTATGTTACATCTAAAGCCTCAGTTTCCACTCTGTTTGGGACATGTACAAAAATGGTACAGCATTTAGATGTCTGTCCGTTTTGAGTCCTGTGAAAGTTTTATGTTTATGGTCTCTAAATTCTTTATACAGATCATACACTTTTCCAATGGTATATTATTTGGGTATTCCATTGCTGATACCCATCACCTGAATTTATAAATGCATACAGACTATGCAATCCCAATCCTGACCATATTTTTAATTCTAGTGAAGCATAATTATTTAGCCAACACAACCTTTCACCATATTTCCTGCCTAACCCAGAAAATTGTACACCGCTATTCCAACTACTGTAAAAACTCAGCATTTTAGTCACTTGATATTATCAGCACTGGACAATCCAAAGTAATTTCTTCTGAATATCAGTATGCACACATGTAACAAGACTTGGCTCCTTTAAAGTGAACTTTCCTTCTTTATGCACTGACCCATTTTAATTCCCACGACCCTACAGTGTCTCTGCAGTTTCTAGGAGTGGCAGAGCATGGTGCATCAAAGCTCAACCTTGTTTGTTCCTCATCTGGCTCACCCCAGCTTCCAGTGCAATAATGCACTTGCAAATGTTACAATTAGGTTTACAACTGTATCACGACTGACAAACAGTCCCAGTATTCTGAAACTCCTGACTCTTTGTCTTTGGGGCATGATGCTTATTACCCATTATAAACACAACAGATGACTAACTTGCACAGAAATAATGGTCAGACATGGAAAATCTTACAATTTTAACATTCATCACCAAATACTTTTAAGAGAAATTTTATTTTTTTATTAAAAAAAAACACATACAATCAAAACATGGTGTATAAAAGACAGTCACGTAAGCTTATTCCACCTACAGTAGAATATTACTGTTGTATTTGTCATCAACTACTCTGATGCTTCGAGGCAAGACTAAGAGCCATCTACTATATGAAAATAAGATCCCAAAATGTAAATCATAGTCTTCTCACACTCAACCAGAATCATTTCCCTGGGTGCTGATTTGTGTGTTATATCTGAGCACCTGACACCAATCAAACTCTTCAGCTTCCCAGAAAGCCTAACCTCTTTCTCTTTCTCCCATCAGCGACCACACAGAGGCAGAGTGGTGAGGTGGTGTGTTTGGATTAGAGCGCCCAGTGTTGAATGAGAATTTGTGACTCAGCTTTTCTGGTCTTTCCTCAAATGATTTACCAACCAACAACTGCAAAAGCTTTAAAGTAAACATTATTGGCGCAACAAAACGAGATGCAGCCATTTTGATGTAATTCCACTAGGAGATTTCATTGACAAGAACTGATCAGTCAGCAATCATGATTATAAAACTAGGCAGAAAAACTAGACAGTGATTCTGACACCAACTAGACACCTGATTGTGTAATACCATGGAAAAAGCCATTATGTGTGCAGTTGATCCACCCAAAGTTAGAAATACATCAGTCTATTGATGGTTGGAAACAAGGGAAGAAAAAAAAAAATGGCACAACACACTCACAAAGGGCTGATCTGTGGTTGCTCCCTGTGCTTTAGGCCATAGAAAACAAGACTGAGAATTCCACTCAGATGAGACCTTCAGCATCATAACACACAGGTTGAAGAGTTTCCAAGTTAGATCCTGTTTTAGTTGATGAAACTTACAAAAAAATTGAGTGTGCTGGCACAGTTCAAAGCATTCTTACACAAAAATCATGAGGTTTTTATCTCATTTCATTCTCTAATATCTTTATTACTAAGCTGCCACGTGGAGTAGATACATGTGCAAATATTTCCTTTTCCTCATCACTATTAATGTACGAAATAGTTAAAGTAACCCGAATATAATACAATGGAAAAATAAATATTTCTGTGGAAGCGAGTTGGCCAGGGACCCTTTCTGCTTTTGCACATGCTGGGTGATGAAGGTGCTATGGAAGCAACCATGAATGGATGCCGGTCTGATCCAGCAGGGAGCATAACCAGTACAAATACAAAGGACGCAGTGGCTATTTTTACCCAAGAAAGAAAAGAAAAATCACTTTAAAAAAAAAAGCACCCAATTCTAACTAAATCCAAGAGTCGAAGAGCCAAAAAACAGTCAAGACCATTAAAAGGAAGCAGGGAAAACATTAAACATTCACAGGCCAAAGCCGTCAAGAGGGATATCACTATGGTACTGTATTCTACTGACCAAAGTCACTGATTCCCAAGTATTGCTTGTCCCCATACTAAACTGGTCTTGTTTCCAGCCACAGATAGAACAAAATCTGAAGGATGTGAGCTCTGAAAACTAAGGCATGTGGTTGTGAAGACCAAGTACTAAAAATGTTGACATCAGTGACCTTGAGTGATACTGTATGTCTCTCACTGTAGTTGAGAGTGAACTCCAGAGTTTTGCTGAATTACTTGTTGAGAAAAATGAAAAAAAAAAAAAAAACAACAACAGAGAAATAAAAATATGAGCACCATTTTTTGGCATCTCCACATCCTTCTTTGGTGACTAAGAGTAAGAAAAGTTGTCGGAGGGATGAAGAG